CCCCCTAGTCATCACCCCCCCCTTTTCCGCCCCCGAGTCTTGAAGATCGGCCTCGAATGTCCGGGATTGGCGGCGCCCAAAAGGTGGAGAGGTTCAAAGATGTCCGGTGGACTTCGAGCAGCAAGCGCTCCCAGGCGCTCCCAAGCGCTCCCGAGCACTGCCCGGCGCCCCCAGGCGCTCCGAGGCGCTCCCAGGCGCCCCACGCAGCTCCGAGCGCTCCTCAAAGCTTCCGGGCGCTGCCCAGCGTTCCCGGGCGCTGCCCAGCGATCCTCGGCGATCCCAGATGCCAGGCGCTTCCCAGGCGCTCCCAGGCGCTCCCAGGCGCTCCCAGGCGCTCCCAGGAAGCTTTTTACGACCGCAGGGGAGGCACCGGGGAGGTACTTAGTAGGGGAGGCACGCCCAAAGAACATACACCACCACCGCGTCGATTCCTCCTCTTTCCTCTTTCCAGCGAGAGGGAGGTGGGGAGGGCGGTGGTGGTGGTGTATATTCGGGGGCCCCCCAGCAGGGAAGGTACCGCAGGGGAGCTCCCGAGCGCTGCCAAGCGCTTCCAGGGGGTGGGGGGGGGGGCGGGACTGCGCCGGGCAGCGGCAACGCCTGGACGGGGGGAGGCGGAGGAGGAGGAGAGGAGGAGGAGGAGGAGGAGGAGAGGAGGAGGAGGAGGAGGAGGAGGAGGAGGAGGAGGAGGAGGAGGAGGGGAGGAGGAGGAGAGAGGAGGAGGAGGAGGAGGAGGAGGAGGAGGAGGAGGAGGAGGAGGAGGAAGGAGAAGGAGGAGGAGGAGGAGGAGGAGGAGGACGGGTCGTCTGAGCCCTTCGCAGAAACCCTCCGTGTGGGGGAGGGGTGCAGGCCCCCCCCCCTTCGTACGATCGTTGCTGTTGCCCGGGGAGAGGGGAGGGGGGGTCCAGAGGATCGACTTCGAGGAGAGGGAGGAACTCGGAAGTCGGAACTCGGATGTCCTCGAGAGTCCGCCAGGAGCGGTACTGCTGGGGGTGCGCAGGACGCGAAACCGCCTGCAGACCAGGAGAGGGGAGGAAGAGGAAGGCGCGAAAAACGAAGACGAAGGCAAGAAGAGCGAGGGGAGGAAGGCCTTTTTAAATCTCCTGTTGGCACCCAGAGCTGCTCTTCGGGCATCAGGATGCTCTCCAGTGGCCAGGCCCCGTCGCGAGCCCCTGGGGAGCCCAGCATCGCACCCAGCGACCACCTGGGCGAGGATCAAACCCGGGTCTTACGCGGGCTGGCGCAGCGACATTGCACGGTGGCGTGCGCGGGCAGCCGGCGCTGCACGCCAAACGTTGGAGACGACGGCGCCCACGTGCGACTGGCACAGACAACCCCGTTGCTTCCCCAATTAGGCTTGACTCAGGAGCTCTGACTCTGTGAAAGTTCAGTGCCTCGGGACCATATTGTGTGCCCGTTCCCCAGAAATATTCCCCGCATTCCCCGGGTTCCCCGAGATCTTCGGGTTCCTCGGGCTCCCCGGTGTCCCCAGATTCCCTGGGTTCCTCGGGTTCCCCGGGTTCCCCGGGTTCCCGGTTCCCCGAATTCCCTGTGCCTGGGTTCCCCGGGTTCCCGGGGTCCTGGCTTCCCTGGATTCCCCGCCTCCAGTGCCTCGCAGTCTTCCTGTGCTTTTCCCCAGGTTCCCTGGGTTCCCCGGGTTCCCCGGGTTCCCCGGGCTCCTCGGGTTCCCCGGGTTTCCTGGGTTCCCCGCCCCCGGTGCCTCGTGTTCTTACTGCGCCCGTTCTCGTCGCTCACCTGAAGGCCAAGTCGTGGCCGAAGTGCGAAAACAGGCCAGATCTAAGCAGACACGTTCGGAGGCCCACCCGGACTCCCTGGAGCGGGGCTGGACTCCCTCCCAAGGGGGCACGCCGGAGGCGCCCCTGGGACCATCCAGGGGCAGGGGGAGGCAGGAGGAGTGCCGAGAGAGGCGGGGGACGCCATGCGGCTAGGTTTCGGTCGGGCCTGTCCTCTTACAGGCGGATCTTGAACGAAGAATAAAATAGTCAAAAATTATCCCAGTGCGACCCTACCTAGGAGTAGGAGCCCCTAGGAAAGCAGCATTAGTAGTAACAGTAAAGCTAAGCTAAAGTTCAGCTAAAGCTAAGCTAAAGCTAAGATAAAACTAAGCTAAAGCTAAGGTAAAGCTAAGCTAAAGCTAAGCTGAAGCTAAGTTGAAGCTATGTTAAAGCTAAAGCTAAGCTAAAGCTAAGCTAAAGCTAAAGCCAAAGCTAAAGCTAAGCTAAAGCTAAAGCTAAAGCTAAAGCTAAGCTAAAGCTAAAGCTAAAGCTAAAGCTAAGGTAAAGTTAAGGTATAGCTAAGCTAAAGCTAAGCTAAAGCTTAAGCTAAAGCTAAGCTAAAGCTAAGCTAAAGCTAAGCTAAAGCTAAGCTAAAGCTAAGCTAAAGCTAAGCTAAAGCTAAAGCTAAAGCTAAAGCTAAAGCTAAAGCTCCCAGGGGACCGGGAGAACCGCGCGGGGCGGGGGCCGGGGGAACCGCCCGGGGCGGAGCCCACTGCCGGGCCCCTTTGAGCCCAGCGAGTAAGAACCCTCTAGGCAGAGCCTAGGTAGGGAAATATGCAAAAATACAAAAATATTCGCAAAAATGTCCCCCTACTATTTTGTGACTATGTTTGAATATTCCTCCTGTAGAGGGACGTGCCCGACGTAAGGCCAGGTGGGGGACGCCAGCGACTTGAAAAAACAAGACGACCATGTTTCACCGTTCCAAGCCCTTGGGAGCGGTTCTCGGGCTCAGGGACCGCGGAAAAAATGTTCCAGAACGAAGAAACAGATTCCTGGCAATACTGAAACATCAAGACGCCGGAGGCCTGGGACCATACCTCTGCCCACGGCCCCGCGGTCCGAACACCGTGACAGGCCGCGGTCGCACGGATACCCTCGGGCTCGAATCTGCGCAGGTCCTCCAGGGGGCGGACGAGGATTCGGAGGAGGAGAAGGCGGAGGAGGAGGATTCAGATGAGCGGCCCCATCGAGCAGAAGATCTAGGAAAGGCCCTCGGGGGCGGCCTGAGAAGGAGGATTCAGATGAGGAGAAGGAAGAGGACCAGTGTAAACCAAAGAGTCATCAACGATGTTCGAATTAGCTCTCCCTCCAAGCTCCCTCTTCATAGGCCCCTACAACGGTTGATTCCCATTGAAGGAACTGCCTCGTTGGAAGACACCCTTGAAGACCCTGAAGCATGTCAAAATGTTGTCTTCGGGATTTCAACGCAACGGATCAACATGACGGCTGCGCCTTAACGATCTGGAACCGTGCCAGAATGCCATTTGGGGGACTTCAACACCGCGAATCAATGTAACTGTTGCACCCGCATAATCCTGAATCGTTCCAGTACACCATTTCTGGTACGCTGATCATTGGAATCCGTGAAACGCTAGCAAATTGTATGAACGAATGTGCACGGCGCTAAGGCGAGAGCCACGTGTTGAAAACCACCCGCCCTCAATCCGTGAAACTCTTGCAACTGTTTAGAACGAATGTGCGCGGCGCTAGGGCGAGAGCCACATTTTGAAGACGATACGCCCGCAATCCGTGAAACCCTTGCAAACGTGAATGCACGCGGCGCTAAAGCGATAGCCACATTTTGAAAAGGAACCGCCCTTAATTCGTGAAACACTTGCAAATGTTTAAAACGAATGTGCGCGGCGCCAAAGCGAGAGCCACATGTTGAAAACCACCCGCCTTCAATCCGTGAAACTCTTGCAAATGTTGAAAGCGCATGTGCGCGGCGCTCAGGCGAGAGTCACATTTTGAAAACCACCCGCCCTTCACATGTGAAACTCTTGTCAATGTGTAAACTTCAGAATCATTAATGGTGAAGAAGTCTCAGGCGAAACGTCCAGACCGCCCTAAACACTGGCCTCGGGGTGCGACAGGGAGAAATCATGCGTAAGGCAAAATAATGGAGGAGGAGGGGGAGGGGGAGAAGGAGGAGGAGGAGGAGGAAGAGAGGAGGAGGAGGAGGAGGAGGAGGACGAGGACGAGGAGGAGGATTCAGATGAGGAGAAGGAAGAGGAGGAGGAGGAGGAGGAGGAGAAGGAGGAGGAGGAAAAAAAGGAAGGAGGGAGGGAGGGGAGGAGTAGGAGGAGGAGGAAGAATTCAGATGAGAAGAAGGAAGGGGAAGAGGAGGAGGAGGAGGAGGAGGGAGGAGGAGGAGGGAGGAGGGAGGGAGGGAGAGCGAGGGAGGCGACCCTTTTCCTCCAGGACCCCTCTTCTGCACAGCGGCGCTCAGCCCTCGGCCGCGCCCGCGGCGCCTGCGGGGGGGCGCCGAGAAGGTGCCGAGACCGCTCCGACGCTGCCGCTCCCGGGAGCCCTGCCGGGGGTGCGCTCTGACAGGAAGCTCCCCCTCCTCCTCCTCCTCCTCCTCCTCCTCCCTCCTCCTCTTCCTCCTCCTCCTCCTCCTCCTCAGACGGATCTGGCCGCGCCAAGGGTTCCTGCAAGGCTGCGCCCCCCTGAGACCCCCGAAGGCACCCGCCAGGGCGGCGCTTCTCCCGAGGCGCCCGCCCCGAGCGCCGACGCTGCAGAACAGCTGCTGCATCGCCAAGAATCGCGACTGGCGCCCTGGACTCCATGCTGCTGCGCCATTTTTCGAGCCGGATGGATCTGCGAGGGCCCCGGGGCCCGAGAAGCGGGCAACAACACGCCTGGAGCGAAAAAAAACCTGCAACGCCCAGACCTGAGGGCGAAGGCGCGCCTTCCTCTCGGGTGCTGCTAGAAGTGCCCCTGGCCCATGGTGCCCCCAGGATCCCCAAGGAGGCCCCCAAGGCCTCCAGACCACGAGGCCCGGAGCCCCAGGAGCTCCCAAAATGGAGCGAAAAGCTGGGAGCACCCTGGGCCAGGGGCACCTCCAGCAACCCCCGACGTCTTCCTCCTCCGAGCCTCCGTCGCCCGCGCAGGCTCCCTGCGCGGGCGCGCCCGCTGCCACTCCCGCGGCTCCGCCGCCGCGGCTGGCGCCCAGCGGCGGCGCGCGGCCGCCGCCGCTGCCGC